CTGCAAAAGAACAGAAGTGTCCGAAGTCGGAAGGAAACGACAAGCCAACAACACTTTCGTGAAACGATGTTTCTATTGTGATGTAATGAACTAAGTATGTTTTTAGATAAATAATTAAGAGATTAAGACAAATTTGCTGGTAATATGAAAAATCAAATGAGTGAAAAAACGTTCTATATGAAATGCTGTTTTAAAAATTCGCATATGTAGAAGACAGTGAAATGTAAGAGAAATCAATCAGCACCAGGTTTGCAAGGTGGTAAAATGGCAAAAGGTTCTTAGAAACTAATCATTCAGCATCAAGCAGAAGAATTCGAAAAAAGCTGCTAAAACCTTTTGAACCCTTCTTGAAAAAATCTACATCTTGATCTTGAAACATCATGCATTTCCGTCATTATTAGACACATTTTTCACAAATAGGAATATTTTTGAAATGAAACTAATTGGATTTAGAATTTTGAATTTCATCTTGAAGATAAGATGTTTATTCTATTGCAGTTTAAGTAGATTAATACCCCTTGACGTGCTGATAACCTTGCGCAACGCAATTGACTGTGTTCCATGCAAATAAAGCAATTCCTTACAATCAACAATGAGTGAAGACCGTCTTTCTAGAACCATTCCAGAAACGTATAGAATCTAGATGATTACACATTAGACGCACTTGATGTTTGAACTCCAGCGCCTTAAGATCTTGTTTTCACCATAAACCCCCGAATGTTGTACGCAAATTTAAGTGTGCGGCATTGCATTAAGGCGGAGGAGCAATTTGCTACTTAGTTGATCTTTAAACCTTTCGCATTGTGGCGTATCGGGTTACGCAATTAACTGCTGGTTATTTGCTGAAGAAACCCGGTTTCACTGCTCCATCGCAATAAAAGCCGCTGGGGTGAATTATAGAAGGATTGCTGCAGTTTACTTTATATAATCATTTATAATCCAGATATACACATAAAGTGAATACAATTATTAATGGCATTAATATAATGCTTTACCATTCGCTGCTGGCAAATAAAGTAAAACCAAAGTAAATTGCTTTGCAGGCTTAAATTAACCAAACATTTCATGTTGTTTGCCGTTATAAAGTAAAAGGATTAAAGTACCAAATAATAATGAGGAAGTCAACTTACTCTCCTGTTCCTTTGAAAAAGACAACTTGAACTAAAATGAAAATAAAACGAAAAACTTAAATACGAATAACTGGCCTCGACGTATTGACTTTTGATTGGCTGTCAAACCAGCACGGAAAATGTCACTCTTATATCAAGCTGTGTAAGTACTACTTAAGTCAACTGAGTTCCGCACCATCTGACGTTACGTTATAGAAACGCGGATGGACAACATAGATTCAAAATGGAATGTGACCGTTTGGTGAATGTTTGGTAACTTCGCGCATGGTACTACCTTGAGTATTACTGTCAGATTCTACCGTGCTATATTAAATTTTGCCTTTATGTCTTTACAGGTTRGAAATTTGTGAAAAAACTTTTCTTTTTAATTTTTKCAGTTTTTTAAAGATKMTCTGGAGATTCKACTAAAAMYCGGTTAATKATYGTTCASATRGATTTAATGGATAGCGAGATATACCTAAATTACAATATAGAAGTTKTTTWATTAAMTRTTGCTTCTRGCATTTTACAGGTTAATAAGGTCTGATTGCGCATCACTAGTGAAACCAAACACTTTTTATGARGTTATTTTGCWAATCGACMATAATAAACTGTGTTTTTTTATTTTTACGTTTTTATTACAGAGATTTTGTAATAAATCAGTGTGTATATTTATGAAAAAAAAATTGAGCATATTTGTTAAAAACATTTTAAACGACGAAAATAAAATYGCCAAATCGTGTTCGAGAAAGTTTGGTGCAAAATAAGTACGAGTAAAGTATCAAATTAGACTTTTTTGTTTCTTGGCAACGCAAAGTTTTTATTAGTGGTTTCCAATATTGTCAAAATTACAACAATATTGTCAAAATCGTGTCAAACTGTCACGATTTCCGTAAATAACGTTCGAATTTCGCGCTTGATTCACATGAAAACTGATTTGAATATAAAACATAATTTATTGTTTGTTTGTCGGTGTTTTATAATTAAGGGAAAACTGCCTTGACTACAGTAATCAGTGTAAATTAGCCAAAATAATCTTTCATAAATTCTGATAAAACTTTAGGGACAAGAAGCAAACAGTTTGGGGGTTCTTCAAAAAAATAATAAATAAATAAATACAGCTATTAAACCAATATTTTGAGCAAAAATTCATCCATTCATGTGGATGTTTTTTGAGCTCATTGCATATTTTCCGACCCATAAAGCTTCTCAATATGCCAAAATTTTCGCTTATTTTAGATCAGAATGGTTTGGTATTCTATATACCCTTGGGCTTGTCGGATTCTTCGCTCATTTGTAATGAAAGTAGTATATRATTTAGGAGACGCTSCAAGCGTTTTAAGTTTTGTCAGAAAAATGTTAAGCAAGTTTGCATCACGAACAAAAACATAGATGTTCACGAACAAAAACATAGAGGTGCAGAGTKTCTCGGAATAACGTATTTTAGTTCGAGTCTCAGTGTAAATTCGTATCAATAAACTCTTTTAATTAATGACGTTGTAGTAATAGCATTATAAAATAGCTAAAACAAAATTATTATTATTATTATT